TCTACACACCATGGTGACAGAGGTATAGCTCTACACGCCTGACAGATGGGACACAATTATATTGGAGAAAACAAGAGAAAAACAATAGATTTGAAAGTATTTGCCTTTCTAATTCTCTAACGTTATGCTTGTACCTCTAAACCGCAGCTATCGATCTTATGGTGACTTGCATTTCGGGTCACGGACACAAATGACTGTGCGCTAACAACACTAGTGCGAGACAGCAGCAGCGCCAGGCCCAGAGTGGAGTGTGGGCCACAGTGGGGGGGCGTCAGCGCCAGGCTAGGACCCGCGCCATGAAACAGCTTGGCAGGCTGAGTGAAAGAGGTGAGGGCTTGATACACACTTTCTGTTTACAAGAAAGTTACCACCATCGAGATGGTGTTTCAACGCCTCAACGTGGCCCTTGTGAACCTGCTGGGGGCCTGACACACAGCAGTAAGTAATCCAGCCCAGATGATCTGAGCACTTAGCACCCCCCCCCCCCCCCCCCCCCCAGATGATCTGAGCACTTAGCACCCCCCCCCTCACCCCCCAGCTGTTACAGCTCACACGGTGGCGTGGACATGAGCCAGGCCCGGGCTGCGTGGCATATCCCTCGCTCTCGGAAAACTGAAGCCCCCCCACAAGGATAGCGGAGGGTGGGGGCTCTGTTATAGGGGACCGGAGAGACAGCACAGCAGGGTTACACTCGCCAAACAGCATCGATTACCCCTGCTGGGGGTAGAGTTGCGGACAGCTGAGGGGCATAAACATGGCTACAAGCTCACAGCACATTTTCACCTTTAACCCGAGAGTATGATGAGGGTTAGCAAACGTGGCAGAAATCAGAAACGCTGTGCGTGACTGGTCAGGCACACATCTGGTCTGGGCCTCTCTGCTGCGCTCACGGCCCCCAAAGGCGGGGCACTACCCGCACGTGGTGGGGGGATGGGATTTCTGACAATCCTAACTCAGCTTGTATGTGTGTGGGGGGGGGGGGTATCCTTTAAGTAATGAGCATGGTTGCGTATTATGAAGCGATCTTCAGTGCGGGATCATGAGAGAATGAGCAGAAGATCAAAGGCAAAGTGTTGCCGTGCGCTCCGGCTAGCGGTCACATGACTCACTGTCAGAAACCCTGAAACTAACACGCAGCTAACTGACCGGCGGGTAACACCCCCTGTGACAGGGAGCATGAAGGCAGCGCTGCTTAGTGCAGACAGAATCACATTATACTTCTGCACACATTAGCAGTTACAAACAATCACAATTAGTTATACTATAAGAAAATGCATTACTGTATCTTTAGGGTATAGTTTCAAAGAGAGTACACCCCTGTAGTATAAGCGTATAACAGCAGGGCTTATGTGAGGCAAAGAGCCATATAAAAACCACAGTAAAACTCTTTAGCAAGCTTTTGTCCAGTTCTTAAGAAAACAGCATGCAAACAGCCCTTGCTGCTCAACATCGGAGCTCAGTAAAACAGCGGCGCACTAATCGCTAACAGATGGAACCCCGATAACGCTCTGGGTCGCACCTACGGGCCCTGAAGCGGTGTGGGGCTCCACCGGACCGCAGAAGGACCAGAGCGGGGACCACGAGGCAGACGGGCATGATGCTGGACGGTAGAGGAGACACAGTGATCTCAGCTCACAAAGCAATGTGCGCAAGCCGCGGGGGAAGGGCTCACTCATACTTACCCCCAGCAGGCTGGGGATTACAGAACACACTCATCATTTTCAGTCATCTCTGCCTTCAGCGAACGTGTTCTGTCCAAGTATGGTTACCAGGACTGCGTCCAAGAACTAATTCATCAAACAGATTTTGATGGACAAAATGTAGAGCACTCACCCTCCAGGGGGCAGTAGCGAGTCACCTTCTCCGGCATAAGCCGGCCCTCCTTGTGACGGCAGTACACCTCGGCGATCTGCTGCCGGCACTCCTTGCTCTTGGCGCGGGACAGCGCTGAGATGGCCTCTTTGCCACCGATCTCGCACTTGGGCGGCTGCTCGTACGTGATCTGCGAGGCGGAGGGGGCTGGCTTGCCGGCCGGCTGGACGCCCCGGTGCCTTTCCTCTGTCCGCTGCAGGCCTCCTGCCCGGCCGGTGCTCGCAGAGTGTGTGCGGTTGGGACCCGGAGAGGCTGGCGAGGCGGGTGAGGCAGCCTCAGCACCGTCGTAGTGGATGACCTCGTCGGAGGCCTTGCCCGTGCCGCGGGGGGGCGGTGCTGCCCCCTCACCGAGCCGTCCCCGTCCATGGCCGGCCGTCCGCCTCTGTGGTTGCGAACGCGCCCCGAAGTTGCTGTTGTCAATGTTCTCAAAGTCCTTGGGCACGGAGTTCTCGTTGTTGCTGTCCACCCGTATTTTCTCCTTCGGCCGGTGAGAGCGGAAGCCATCCTATGAAGGAGGGACACGGACACCAGCTGTCACTGCACATCACCGAGCCAGAACTGCTTTCCACGGAACGCGGCAGAAGCCATCTCCCAAACCGATCTCAGCTTTAGAACCCGGGAAGTCGGGCTCGGCATGTCCCAGCCTAACGAAACAGCGGCGACAGCTGGGGGTCTGACATCACTTGGTATGTGATGAACCTTCGCTCCATTACCACACAACTGAGCTGTGTCAAAAACAGGAAACGCTCAGAGAATCTGGAGCAGGGCTATAATAATATATGACTGAATGTCACTTATTATCAAAAGGATAAGCAATTATTACATATTTCTATTAAAACCCAGACTGACAAAGTGCATCCTGGACCTGAGGACAGCCCCGCCCCTCAAACAGTAGCTCAGCCAATCAGGCACCAGAGAGAGAATGAACAGAGAGCCAGGTGGAGATGTCTGGGAAAGAGGATTTGGGGGGCACATGGTACAACCCCCCGCATGTAAAATTGTCATGGCAAGCCTAAAGTTCACGTCACTTGTATGGAAGCCAGAGCTGGGGGGGGGGGGGGAGTAAACCATGCCCCCCCACACAAAGGCTCTTCGCCGGACCCTTCCCGGAGGCCCACGCCAGCAGCTCGTTCATGTGCTGTCTGGCCTACTCTCTGCAGGGACAAACGGGGGCTTTTAGGGGAAAATTACAGCGCACTGGATTAATAGCCTGGGAAAGCGATGTAGGTGAGGCAGTATCGATCGCCTGCGGGGAGCGCTCTCTTCCCACAGAGCCTCGGGAGACAGCTCCGGATGTCCTGGCACACAAGATGCCTGCCGACCACGGGTATAAATATCTCACGCGGCGATTGGCCCCCTGAATCGGCTCCTGCTTTGGCTCCTCCCCATGGGGCCCCGGCTCAGATAAATCCCACTGCGGACGAAACGGCACATGGGGAAAGGGGCCAGTCTGGGTCCGGTTGTGTCACCAGGAAAACCTGTCACCTGCACGATCTTCTGCTAAAAGATCTTCTGCTTAAACACCTGCAGGAGCAAACTCACCCAGCTCCACTTCCAGAAATCACTCCTACCAACCACCAATGCACTGTACAACTGTTCATGACATTGTTGCTAGGGTGACCAGATAATTCATGTCAGGGAGGACACACTGAGCTCCATCAGGTTTTACACACTGAAACTGAAAGGCTCCTGTGCTCAGCTAAATAGTTTAGTTCTTCTTGTGCCTTTACTTGTTTGTTTCCTTCATTGAAAGACTCATCCAGCTGCTTCACATTGACATTAGTGAACAAAGGAGACTGGCCTATCAGCACACAGCAAGAACTGAATGCTTAAGTGAAATCCTGGTCCTTCTGAATGAATAATGATCATTTACAAATCCTGTCCTACAGTAGGTCAAAGTGCCTTCCCTGACATGGATCATCTGCCCAAGTGGAGATACCATCCCTGTAAGCAACTATTTTATCCTTGCATATAATGAAATTTTTGTTTATTTGCCTATTTCATGTTTTTTATAAACATGTTTGTAAACATGATGTATGTTATATGATGATACATGTTGTTGTTAATGCTGCAGGATTGAGAAAATTTCCCTCTAAGGAATTAATAAAGTACTCAAGCTGGGAGTAGCCTGGGGGTTTGGCTGGGGGGGTGCATTCCGGTATTCTGTGAATCCCATATAAAGTGTCATCCCATCAGAATCATCATCATTACTGTGCGTTATTATATTTTATTACTTCTAAAGTTCCTGACTGAAGGGTACATGTCAATCCTCCCCAGGGATTCGAACCAGTAGCAGCTAGTCCCAGTGACCCTCTAGATGGAAAAAGTCTCTCTGTGACCTGAGTGCCTTGTCATTACTGGGGGGCGGGACATAGGGAGATTCTGCTGGCAAGGGCAGCCAAGAGCGGAGGGGGTGACAACAGAGCCAGATGTGCGAGCGCCCCCCCCCCACCCCCCACCCCCCACCAGGGCCCGCAAATATGCTTAATAATGGCCATCCAACTAAAAACCCCAGAAGGTGCAGCCCCCAAACCCAGCTGGTTCCGGTCCATCTTCCGGACACCAGGATGAGGAACGAAATACACAGGAGGCGCTCTTTCACAGCGTGACGGCCTGCACAGCTGCGGGCTGTGGATAAGCACCGGACACAAGCCCACAGGGCATTAAGCGGCAGTAACCGAAAAGCCACCTCCGGCCTCCTCGCTCACTGCTGGCCAGCACACCTGCTGGCGCCCCCTGCTGGCGGCTGACCCTGTGCATGGCCCAATGATCCAGGATCTGACCTGAGATGGACAGCGGGGACAGCAGGGCCAGTCCCTGAAATGAGGCCCCCGCTACCTCAAAGGCTTTGATCTTCTCAAATACTCAAACCTGGGTCTGTTTAAGGAGCACAAACAAGAAGAATGATGGCCTTATTAATCCTGCAGGTTCCAGCAGGTTCCTATTTCACTCCTCTCAGCTAACCATGTGCCCTACTTTGTGCCCCCCCCCCCCCAAGGGTGGAGCCAAACGAAAGGCCACCCCATTACCAAGACGGCCCCACCCCCACCCCCACCCGCACGCTGTCTTTGTCCCTGGGAATGTGCTCCAAGCTGGAGGCCGCTGTGAATGAGCCATGGGGCTTTGGTATGCGGGGGGGCTGCTCTATAGAGAGCCGTCAGTCACGGCCCCCCGGCACTGAGCTCCTTTGTCACAGCAAGCTTCCTTTCCTAAATTGCAGGGTGACGATCTCACTCCACCCCCCCCACCCCCTGGGCCCCCACACAGCGGGGGTGTAAACAGGGGGCCACGTTACTATAGAGTAATTTCTGCTGTTGGGGTGCATGAATGACATTGGGATCACACTCAGAGTGGAATGGAAAGAAAGGACCCCCCCACCCCCACAACCATACTAATGTGGGGGGTGGGGGGGAGGCAGGATCTGGGATGGGAAGAGGACCCCCGCAGTAATTCTAGCGGTTTCTTCGTGTCTGAAAAACAGCTGGATCTCACTGGCCCCTTAAAGGCCCCCCTCCCCCCATGATTGGCCAATACTGGTTTCATTTAAGTACAAAAAAAAATCTATAAGCATATTTTGGAGACCCCCTCCCCTAGCTGGGGGGGGACAAAAACAGGACAAAAGAGAAGCGAAGTGGTTTGGAGTCCCTCACTTGGGGGAGCAAGCTGGTGAAAGCGAGAGAGAGAGAGAGAGAGAGAG